CGGCCCCTGGACCCCACCCGCCCGCGCCTCCTGCGCTGGCCCCGCTGCTCTTGAGGCCGCCCCCACATTCCTAGCCCTCGAGAGAGCCCCCCTCCCTGTCCCCATTACTACTGCTTGAATGTCCCTAACTTAAAAATTATCCTAGCGGCCGCTCTCGGATCCCGCTCACTCTAGGTCTATGCCAAAGAGGAGCACCCGGGCTGACCCAAGTTGCCTGGACGTGACCCCGGCCCCCCTACCGGCCCCAAGTCCAGACTTTATTGATGTCTCAGAATTCGCAGGGCTTGCTAATGCGTAATCCTCTAGGTCTTTATTGACATCAAACAAGAGACATCAGGGGGCCTGGAGTGCTGTATCTTAACTAGCATTCTCCCTGTCAAAATTCCTTTTCTGAGATTTTCTTCTCGTTCCACTCCCCCATTCCCCGCCACCCCGATCTAGGCAGCGTTGTTCTAGGGCCAAATAATTCCACGACCTCCCCTTTTCATTTACTCATTTCCTGAGGTGGTTGTCTGGGTCCTGTCGCCCCAGCTCAGACGTCCAGAATTGGCCCAGACAGACTTAGTTCCTCCTCGCTGTCTTTGTAAATCAGCGTTGTTAGCCTCTTCACCTTCTTTGACTTTCCGATCCTGGCAAGGAAGGAAGGGGGTAAGGAAGTAAGTCTTGACTTCAGTTGCACTTTCCCAAAGACCTCAGCCTCCTCCCAGCTTCAGTCTGCAGGGTCTTCCAGCAGTATTTAACTTTTGAGTTACTACATAAAGTTGTAACTCCTCTTTTGTCTTAGCTTTGTGCCCTATGCCTCTCCCCAGTGCAGATTAATAATATGGGTTAATTTTGTTACCACCTTCTATTTTCTAGGTTGAATCTTGTCTTGGTACTTTTGTGCAAGTCCCCAACTTCTGTCCGGTCCTCTGTACCACTCTTCCCTCCAAGCTGGTATGCTAACATTTCCTGGCTTTGGATCTTCTGTGACATTTTGTTAAACCACTTTCCTCTCACTAGTAAATTGAGTCAAGAAGACCCAACTGCCCCATGTTAGCTGAGAGGAAAGTAATTTGGTGTAGTGCAAAGAGGATATTAGGAGATTTCTCCAATGGATTGGTTGACATTTCATCCTAGCTTGTTTTTAACTTTTCAAAGGCTTTCACTTCAAATTACCATCTTTGACCAAAGCTAACGTTAACTTTGCAACAGCAACCAAAAAACATGAAGTTTTAACTCTTTCTTAGCCGGTACTTCTCTATACCGTTGTTTTGCCTGAAATTTTTACATGGATAACATGTGGTTGAGCTAACATCGCCATGGTAACTAATATTGAGGCATTTTCTGTGTGTGTAGTTCTCCTTGCTGACTGAAGGCGGCAGTCGAATCAGGTCAGGTTTACACGATCTTACTGCAGGCCAAGAGAGTCGACCTTTCCGGCCTATGTCACCTTAGCCTAAAATCCAAGGAGAAAAAAGTGAAAACTGGAGGCCTATTCTCAACACACATACACCCCTGTGAATGTTTTTGATACAGCCTTGGTTGGTCTCAGGGTTTCAATATATTTTGCTTGTGAAGATTTGCTTTTCGACCTGTGAGAAAGACCTTATGATTCTGGAGACCATATTTTTTTTCCACATAAAAACTAAGGACATGTGGTATAATGAATACATTTGTCCCAAAAAATCCAGGACAGGCGGTTACCATACTTTCAATGTCAGGGGATTAAGAATTTATAAACAGTTTCCACTCTGTATGCAAAGGACAGGTTCCTTTCCAGAAGGCATGATTTGTGTTGTTTTTTCTGGGATTGAGGAGGAAAAGGGGAGTCTGGCTGTCCCTTTCTGACTCAGGCTCGAGAGACTGCGTTTTCTGTGTGCATCCCAGGTCCTCCTCTTCCGTGGTTCAGCACAGTTCTGGTGCACAGAGCCATCCCTGGCTGCTGTGAGTCACTGGGAATATCAATGGGTAGAAACAAACTTCGTGCCTAGTCCCTGCCTGGGTCACCCCCTAGGGTGAGTTAAGTCTTGGCTGTCAGAAACTACTCTTGTGCCAGGAGTGCTAAGCCATATTTATTTTTACCAGGCCTCTCAGACTTTCTTGTGTGGAGTGAGAGATCCTGAAAAGCACGCCAGAATGGGCTGTTTGTCTCCCTTTTATTGTCCTCTGGGACATGCCCCTGGAAAAGTTGTGGGGGACTGCCAATTCCAGAGGGGTCTCAGAGGCATTGGTTTCCTCAGAAACACCACCCCTTTCCTTCATCCTTCCAGGACAGACCAGGGAACCGAATTTCCAAGATCAGAATATTGCCCTGAATTAGACCATCACTAATGGCCTTTCAAAGGAAACACAGGGAGCGCTACAGAAACAAGATAGAAATGAGCATTATTTTGATCCAGTTAAGGTTGGTAGAATTCTCTTGTAACCCAGGCATCGTTCAACAACCTGAATTTCTAAACATAATTCTTCTAAAAGAGTAAAAGGCCCGAAGTTTCACACTTTAAAACAGTGGTTCTCAATCAGGAGTGATTTTGCAGACATGGACAATACCTAGAGTGGGGAGTGGGTACTACCAGCATATAATGAGTAAAGGATGCTGGTAAACATCCTACAAGGAGCAGGACATCCCTCCCCCAAACTAAGAATTATCCAGCCCCAAATGTTAATAGTGCTGAGGTTGAGAGACCCTGATTTAAAAGATGAAGAACATTAGCCTGCAAAGAATTGCTCCATCTTCTCTCTAGAATCACTTTCTTGTGAAGGCAATGGGAATGGAGTTCTTAAAGCTATTGAGGGGAAAACAAGAGAAAGCATAGCCAAAGGAGCTGAAAGAGTCCCCTACCTATCTGCCTACGGAGCTATTTCCAGTATTCATTCACCTAGTGAGAGTAAGTATTTGTTAAGTGTGTATTATGTGCCAGGCACTGTAGAAACAGTGGTAAACAGATATGTCGAGTCCCTGGAACTTACAGTCTGATTTGGGGAGGCTACAAGTATGCAGAGGCATTAAAAGAATGATCTCACGAATGAATTTAAAACTACAAATGATAGGCGTACTCAAGGAAAAGTACAGGGTTCCATGAAAGGAGAGACTTAATTTAGATTTATTGGTTCAAGGAAGGCCTGTCAGAGCACCGACACTTAAGCTGAGTAAGAATCCTCAGGCTAAGAGTAGATGGGGAGGGTCTTCCAGGCAGAAGGAACAGTATGTGCAAAGGCCCTGAGCCAGGCAAGAGTCCATAAGATTTATGGATAGGAATTATTAACTTTTAGCAATGGGTGTGCTTTTGTCTAGGTTCAGAGGGCTGCTCCTAGAGACTGGGGAAAAAAGGAAAGTATCAGAGAATAGTCTGATTTGCATTTCTATGCTTTCTTTAATTGCAACCCCTCCACACCACTATTCCTAGTGCCAACACTTTTCATGTTCTAGCTCAGCAGTGGTCCTTGCGTCAGGAATAGGGGTACGATGGCTGATTCAATTCCCTGGCCTAACTTGGGGCACACTCTGAAAAGTGGGACTTTCTAGCACATTTTAATCTCCTGAAAGCTTGCTATTCACACATTTGGCACATACACGTAGAGCTTTTGCAGCAAAAATCTCAGTATATCTTGCTTATTTCAGCAGCAAAGATAAATTTAGAATGGTGGATCAACAAATGAATCAATGAGTAAATACTCATTTAATAACAAACATGAATCATGCATCTATGTAAACAATCTCTGTTTCCACACTTGCCTCTTTATAATTCATTCTCTATACAGCAACCAGAGTGACTTTTTAAAAAACGTGAATCAGATCGTGTCATTACTACGCTTAAAACCTTCCAATGGCTTCCTGTTGCACTTGGAATAATACCTATACTTCTCACGTGGCCTTCAAGGCCCTTCATGATCTGGCCTCTGCCTACTTCTTTGCCTACTTGTCCCCTTACTCATTCTGAGGTAGCCACACTGGCTTTCTTTCAGCTCTACAACATGCTGTCATTTCTGTCTTCCAACTTCTCATGAGCTGTCTCCTCTACTTGAATGCTGTTTCCCCAGACCCTTCCATGGCTGGTCTCAGCTCAGCACTGCAGTCTCAGGGAAGCCTCATCTTACCACCCTAAAGTTGCCTTGTTCTCACTCTGCCTTTGCCTTATTTTATTTAGGAGATTGGATAAGGTTTCATGGAGGTGGTGGCATTTTGCCTAGGTCTCATAAAATGTGTAAGCATTTACTAGGCAGAAAATGTGGGAGAGGTACATTCTAGATGGAGAGAAGAGCTTATGCCAAAGCAAGGGGATGTGAAACTGCTTGGTATGTTGGGAATAGCGAGTAGGAAACTGTGGCCAGAGTATTAAGTATGTAGGGAAGAGTGAATGGGAAGCTGGCTGGAAAAGTAGGTTGGGGCCAGACTGTGAAGGGATATACGCCAGCATGTTAAGGAATTTTGCTTCATCCTAGTAATGGTGAGTCAGTAACACTTTCTAAATAAGAAAGAAGCAAGGTCAAATTTGAATTTTAGAACAATAAACTCTTGTAACAATGTAGAGGATGGGTTGGGGGAGAAAAAATAGACACAGAGACTGCAGCTTTTTGTCCTAAGATTCTGAAACTTGGGAACTTCCAGTTTATATCCTAAGTTTATTTAGTGATTGCTAGTATA